TTACTATATATATATATATATATATATATATATATATATATATATATATGTATAACCTAAAAATACCGCAAGGATACGTGTATATCCTATATTTCGAGCTCGTGGTAATTTGCAAATCAATTTCCTCGAATCCCGTATCACGGGAAAATGTTAATTACACGCTAAGAGCGCTTGTCACTTATATGTATAACGATTAAAAACGTTTTGCAGCGTATCAAAATCCTGTTGCACCTCCTCCATTCACTCGATCGTTCCCTGTGTCCACCGTGGAGCGAAGGCACCAACAAGGCTTGTAAAAAGTGACATCAAGAGGAGGAGGAGGAGGGAGGCGTAATTAAAAAAACGCAAATGCGACAAGGTGGTAAACGCAGACAGGCAATTTCTCAAGATTACTTTGAACGATATTAAAGCCAACTTTTTTTTNTTTTTTTTTTTTTTTTTCCCCTCATTCGAAGCGAGCGCAGTTCCTTTGAGTTTGCACACTGGGGAGGGGAGGGCGCTTAGTCGTCAAACCTGTACGATAAAATTAACTTGTAAAACCGCCCGGTTTAAAGGCCGGCTTCGTGGAAAACGCGAGGCCGACTCTCGAGAATTCGCCCATTTCGTAAATTAATAACGACGGCCGGTCGAAAAGAGGGATGATGGAAATTTATATTTCCCCTCTCTTTATTTTCCCATCCCATCGCATTGTTTCGCATTGTTTTCCAACCTTTTTTCGAGTTGCCGGTCGTTCTTTTGTAATATTTCGAGTAAGTTGAGATTATATGTATATTAATGTGATTAAAATTAAAGGGTTGAAGTGTGTTAAATATCGTTTTGAATAATTTTTCTTTTTTCGATTTTTAAATTTGGAATTTGAAAATGGACGAATGGCGGTATTCGAAATTGTTAAGATAATGGACGATTTTGACACGATCCTCATAACGATCTTCGAAAAGTACAGAAATACGTATAACATGGGTGTAGAAAAATTTGGAAAATGTTGAAGATAGATAGAAAATTCTACATTTTATTAATTAATTTATCTTATCCCATATCACGATATCGAATAGAAATCTCTCTCCATCTATCTTGAAAAATTTTTGTCGAACAGATTCCTCTGACGAAGAGAGGAATTAGCCCTCGTCTTCGTCCCCGATCGGCAATACTTGAGTAACAAGTTAGGATTTCAAAGGTCTCGCGTGTACTCCTCTCGTTTCTCGTTTTCCTCTTCGAATCGAAAGGAAAAAGATAAAAAAAAAAAAAAAAGGAAAGATCGAGCACACCTTGTTCCGTTGATACGGCTTGTAAGAAACAAAACGAGTTAATTAACCGGTGGGATAAGAGGTACACGAAGAATATCGTTTTAATATCTTTTCGTTATTCGGGATATAATTTCGAATTAAACTTTTCTTTTTCGATCGATAAAGACGGGGCAATTTCAGATAAGAAATTGCTTATTGAACGGTATTTATTAAATTGCTCGACACTTAGCATTTCGAGATAACGTTTTTTTTTTTTTTCTTCTTCTTTTCCCCTCATTTACCCCGATATGTATGTGTATTCCTTGATTTTAATTGAATTGAATTTAATTAATTGAACGATTGTCATTCTTCTTAGAAAAATGTATATTTTTCGATACCACTCGTATCGTTTGATGCATCGATTTTTATTAAATATTTCTATTTCGATTGAATTATTTAAATAATTGTTCGTTTAAATAGAAACAGTTAACTCGTTTAACTTGTCCTTTTCTTCCTCGCTTTCAGAGATGCTTAGAGAGATATAAATATTTTTTCACTTTAACCAAATTAAATTAAGCAATAATCCCACAAATAACTAAGCTATGTGCAGATCGAACAAGTTCTGACTCGATGATTCAAATTTCCTCCTAATTTCACACGATTCGTTTTAAGAGAGAAAAATCCTCACTTATCGATTATCGACGATCTCTCTTTGATTCCCATCCATCCCCCTCCCCGAAAAAACACAAACATCTCCAACACAAAACCCGTAACTTCGACCCGTAATTCACACGTTCTTCCACGTCAAAACCTTCAATCGTCAAAAAGCTCCTTTGCCAAAGGAGGCCTACCTGTGGTGGCAAACGGTTCAAAAGCGCTCTCCACCCTCCCTCCCCCGCCCCCACTCCTCAAAGAAAGAAAAGGCGCGCGGATATAACCTGCACTCTCACAGAGCCAGAGACAAATATGATCGGCGGCGGCGGCGCTGCTGGCGGTGGCGTTCATTATGGCCGCTTAATGGCCGCGATTTACCATTGAAAAAAGCTGGCGACACCGTCTGAATGAGCCATTACGGGCCCGGTCTACAGAAATAATTATCGTAGCATTGACACAAAAGGGCGTTGGCTGGCTGCCTGCCTGGCTGCCTGCCTTCATTGCCGGCATGCACACATTACCCCACAACCTCACGTATACGGGGTGTCCCGCTCGAGGCCGTCGATCAAATGATCGATCCTTTTCTCGTTCGAGTTTTGCTCGCAAGAAAATCTGATTCAACGATATCCAATACTTTTAATGAACTCAATAAATTTTTTTGAACGGGTGAAAGAGATCGATTTTCCTTCCTTCGAAATTTGAAAAATTTCGAAAAAAAAACTCGTAATTAAACGCATATGCACGTATGAAATATAAGCGAAACAATTCTCGCGCTGAGAATAAGCGCAAAAATTGCCGGGACGACGGGAAATTGCGATTCGAAATTGCCGAAAGTGTCGAATAACGACGTTATTCTCAGGGGACCAACCTCCCCTCCCCTCCCGTGAGATATTCAAAACGATATCCACGGTTGAAACGAGGTACCACCCTGTATACGCGATCCTCCCCTCCTCCCCCCTCCCTCCTCCCCCCTCTTCCAGCGTCGTATTTACGATACGATAAAAGAAGCGTCTCATCGCGGGAGGGAGGGGAGGAAGGGAGGGTCGAGGCTGGCTAGCCGGCCGACAGTGGCGAAAGCCGCTCGAAAAGGCAGATTGTTTGTTTGTCGGGAGAGCTTGTGCTGGGTGCCGCGCGCGCAAACAAGTGGAAACAAATAATATCCTGGCCGCATTACGCGAACGAGTCGTGGGGGGGGGGGAAGAGGGGAGGAGGATGGGGGAGGCACGGCTCGGGCTGGGTGCCGCAGGGCGGCGGTAACGAGGCGAACGAGTGCCGTGAACCTCTGCCGTCATTAATGCCGGCCTCGGGCCCACGCGTGCCCCTCTCCCTCCCTCCCTCCTCTCCTCCTCTCCCCTTTCCATGCACCTCGATTCGATGCCGCCTTCCTCGTTTTCTCGGGGACACGAGGAGAATCGGGAACTCCGTCCCCCTTTCGTATTTCGAGGGAGGGAGGGAGGGGAGTCGTGTGTCAATCGCGTTTTTCAATCGGGTGGAAACCGGAACTGGAAATTGAAGAATGCCCGATCGATGTTGGGAAGTTGGCTACGGCGTTGCTTGGTGCGGTGACGCGTGGCGAGGGATCCGTTTGGAGGGGAGGTTAGAATCACCCGTTTCCTGATGACGAATGATGATGTTTCGCGGGGACGATTTGTCGTCGATCGGGAAGGGGGAGGGAGGGAGGGAGGGAATTGAACGAGGTTTCGTGGTGAGTTGGACGATTTGTTCTCTTTCCTTTTTTTTTTTTTGAGATGGAGGAGAAGTTATCAGTTACCCGATCGATTGATTTGTGATTCGTTAGTTTTCTTCCCGAGGAGAGAACGAATAAAAGTTTGTATTTTTTATTTCGTTTTCAATTCACAACCGGAAATCGGTTAATATGTTATTTAGATGTATATTATTAATGTACAGACATTTCGATGACGAAGGGTGGTGGCAATGGCAGTGTGATACTCGGCAATTTTCGAGATTGATCACGGACAGTCGTAAAGGAGAATACGGTTTCACGGTCGTAAAGGCGAGGGATGAAACCGGAAATTGGCGAATCCTAGCGGAGGCAGAAGGAGAGATTCTCACTTTCGATCAGACATTCGAGCCACAGCATCGATTATGAAACCAATAGATTTAGGAAATGTCGTAAATTTGCGGAAGATCCTCCTAAGATAGATTCTACTAAATCTCTTAACAAGGTGATTCTAATATACCGAAAGGTTGTCCAGTCTGCGTGAAATTAATAAATATTGTCAGAATAAAAATATTGGAACTACTTAAATTTTAGTTCTTAAAATTCGAGTTACCAATATTTAAATTTCGTTTCCAGCTTAAGAACCTTAAAAAAGAGAAGAATTTTTAAAATCGACTTTGCGGCAAAAGTTTTCACTAGTTCCATTCGAATCGAAAGTGCAATTACCCTCGGTTACGATTAACGCTTGGATGGGTGACCGCTTAGAAAAAAAAAAAAAAATAATTATTTAATAATCTGAAAAAAATCTGCTTTATTTAAGATTCTTGATTTTAAAGTAAAATAAATCAATAATAATAATTAATACTTTCCTATCCACAAGTGCAAAATATATCCACATATAAAAATATTATTCCCCTAAATGAAATTTAATATTCGATATAAATAAAAATCGTTTTAGAACATCGGACAAGGCGGTTAAACGGACGAACAACAACGAAACCACCTCCTCTCCCCAAGTCTTCTCGACGCAACCACCTGTATATCCGTTATTTATTCTCTGTTCGACCGCTGACTGGCTTAATTGCTCGGCCAACATCGGCACCGCTACCTCCATTAGGCTTGCAAGCCGCTTAATGCGACTCCTGGTATATACGCGGTCGCTTCATTTACGCTTAATATGGCGCGTACGTGCATAAACGGTTTCAGCGTCTTCAGGAGCGTGTGTTGGCCGTTTGGCCGGCGATGATCGGCTATCGAAAGCCTTTTCGGCTCCCCTGGATAACTCTCTCTCACTCATCCGCCTTGTGTTTCTGCGTTTATACGCCCCGCGTGCGCACACAATCGTGTTTCCTCCCACCTAGGAAGCGACTACAAGTCCGCTCGAGTACATTGCACACACGCCTGGCTAATGGCTCACCGGTGCACAGGTAATCCCACCGCGTGATCACGGTCTCTCTCTCTCTCTCTCTCTCTCGTGCGCCACCTGCTCGACACGCTCCGTCTTAGCTAGACACGTGTACGTTTAGACACTCCGCCGATAGAGATTTTTGGTCTGTGATGATATACGACATATATATATATATAAAATGTAAATTCGTTATTCTTATTCTTCGTCAAGATTGTAATAGTTTTTTGTTGTTTTAGCCTAATTGAAATCTTTTATTAATAATCCATTTCTATCCGATAATAATTATATTTTGCAAATTTCTTGATGATATCTTCGGTTGGTATCCAAAGGAGAAATCGAAAGAAAAGTAGTTATTCTTTAAACTCGAGTCTTCTTGCCGTAACCTTCGCCAATAATGACGGGTAATAATCGATCGATTCTTCCGCGTATTGTAAGTTTCAGTTGCAAGCTCTTCCACTTCCACTCGACCCTTGTGATTATATGCGGAGCAACAACACGTAATTACTGTTTCTCATATACACGGGTAAGCCAAATACAAGCGATTATCCGATCGCACCCATGTCGGAACCACATCTCGATCGATCGTACAGGTTGTTTCATCGTGTGTGGAAATTGTTTTCAAATTCATGCAAATTCATAATGCGAATGTTATTAAATGTAGCTTAAACTCAAATCTTAATCTCAGTTCGAATCTTGAAGATATTTTTATCTTTAATTAATTCAGTTTAAATAAATATAATTTTTATCTCAACTTTAAGTAAATTTTTTATGACTCTATCCTGGAAATA